AAGGTAACTCAAATAGGATAGGAGACTTCACTTGTCTATCATAGCTCAAACAATATCTAAGCTCTCATGATGACTGTACTGACTGTCTCAAGACTTTACAAGCCTTAGCAAACATGAACAGTGTTATATCAATAACCAGATCCAACTCAGCAATCAAAAAAGGAAGTGCAACAAATGCAGAAAAAAGTATTTTCAAGGGAAAACATAATGACATAATTGAAACATGCCAGGATAACACATATGACATGTAAGTTAACCGAACATGCTACATCTCTCTTATCACAATCCAGCTTCACAATCATTCAGCTCTTCCTTCCAAACGGAAAAAAGGGCACACAAGCTGTTAGGTCAGATGCTGGCATTAATATACAAAACACTCTGTAATCCTGCAACGAGGAACTGATGTTAAAGATGGGTATTCAGCTGCAAAACAGTCTCTTGTTATTTGCAAGTCACAGTAATATCTGCTGTTACAGGCCTGGAAACAAGAAATTAAAACGTACAACCACTGATAACATGTCTCATCTCCAGAAGTAGGAAGTTCAAAGTTCCCAGAGAAAATAAGTATTCCTGTAACGCAATACTGACTATATAATGAGATATTCAGGTTACAAGCTAAGGCAAATCTATGAAACTGATGCAAGTATTCTTGTGATTTTTAACATTACTGATACATGAGGATGTCTTTACTGAAGGTTCCCTATATCTCTTTCAAAACAAAGTTCTACAGCTGTCCTTGAAGTATAATGTATAGCATTTAAAAAATCTGAAAAACTAAGTATCTGTTTAAGACTACTTAAAAGAAAAGTCATCCTATTTCTAGAACTATAGGCACAGATCAGACATAAAAGACAGCAGAAATTATTTTACCCAGACAACAGACATTCTCATTCTATAGGGAAAAAAAAAGCCCATTTCTAACAGCTGGGTGGGAAACAACTTGTTTTTATGAACTTCAGTATCTATTGCTTAATATTTAAATTATACCACATCTATTACAAGCATAGACATCTGTATGTTAGAAGATGATGCAACAATTCTCTTTAAAGGAGTCCCAACACAGATGTGGCTACATCAATGAAAATAAAAGGCAGAGCCAAAAAAGGTTAACGATATATATTGCCATATAAATCCAAGAAAACTCACAGCTGGTACTCAGCATTCTTTACCCTACTGGAAAGCTTAAATTCACTAAATATCATCAAGAAAGGATGCATATGGGGACATACAATTTTGAAGAAGGTACTCACAGCCTCCATTCTTCATGAGAAGAATGAAGTTAGCTTTTTCCAACTTAAGTCTAAGGGATTCTCAGTAGCAAGAAACAAGCCTTTGCTGTATTTGGAATGTAAGAATTTCTCTTGATAGCCCAAAAATCCTCTTGCTGTATGTGACAGAGCATAGGTAGCTGATGAAAACAATTTCGGATGCAGCATGTACCATGGATGTGTGCTGCCCTCTGCTGTACTGCCTAAATTCTTCCACTAAGCCTAACAGCTATTCTGCTTTTTAACACAGATAGACAGGTTAAGATGCACTTTACCCCAAATCAAAACTAAATAAAATAGTGCCTGCTATGGAAAGGTTTATACCTGTCACCTTAGGTGAATGATAGACACCTCTCAAGACAGATTTTTAAATCCCCATTTGTACATTTCCAAGCAGATAAAGAAAAACACACTTGCTTTAGCTGTTCCCCCATGTGCTTAGAGCAAGACCTTTTACCCTAATCAAGGCTGAATGGTAAATTTTCTGCTCTTTCATACTGAATTCACGCTGATCCAAAGTAATATATTCTTCAGCCCTATCTGTAAACTAACAAGCCTTCCACATGGATGTGTCTCTCTTCCCCAAATAAGATTTTTTTGTTTACATGTTTCTCATTCAATAAAAATTTCACTTTATTATAATATACTTAACCACAATTTCTAACTCTTCATCAATAATGAAGGTATTTGAGGCATCAGAACTCCTATCAGAAGATGCAGTTCAAAAGTAAGTAAGCAAAAACCCAGCAAACAAACAAATAAAAAAAGTCCAAAAAATTTTCCCCCTACAGCAAATATTTTTGTTTGTTAAAACTTTTGTGAAGTTCATGCAGCTACACATGAACTCACTGCCAACGAAAACACTTGCATTTCCCTCCACCCCAAGGCATAGATTGTAATAGTTGAAGTAGCTTAATTTTCAAATCCTTCATTTCACCTACTAGAGAGATCTTCTATTTATTTAGAATCACTACAATTATTCACACTACCTGGTCTGTTATAAATCCATACAGATGGCAACAAAGAATAACATTAAAAGAGTTAAAACAAGTTAGGGAGAATCAAAATGTGTATTTGCTATTTTGAACTTTCAAGATACACAGGTTTTGCTGCAGTCTAAAGGATGTACTTGATTAAACAGTAACTTCTACTACTTTCTCTCCCCCAGCTCTAAATTTGTAATGAGTGGGTCACTACAGAGCCTATTTCAATCTTTGTTTTTAGAGACAACTTTTAAAAAAATACATATAATCTCAACTGGAGCTGAATGGTCCAGGCAGCTCAGTTAGGCTGATGCTGATACACTTGGATTTTTGCTGTAAAGTGTTTTGATCAAGAAAACAAGATTCATAAGGAATAGAAAATGCTGAAGTGAATCCTACTCTGATAGGTCCCACACGACATTCTCACTTCTGGGACATATCATGCAAATTTCTTCAAAAAACATATGGACAGAACCACTTTGTTTAAAAGAAAGTCAAACATGAGACAAGAATTTGCAAAGACATCTCCATGAAGTCGTTAAGATTACACATAATTTCATACGACCCTTATATTCTGTCTCCGAAACAGGTAATTTTCATCACCTCACATAGATGATGCCAAGATAGCCCATACTAAGGGTATCCCTTTGTACCCTTTCCAAAGCACCTATACCAGACCTTCCATTTCGTATCCTAGGCCAAAAATAACTCTTTAAGTTTCCTTCATATACTAGATACATAAGTGATCTGATGATGACAAAGAGATGGCTTCTGTCAACTAACTACATTAAGTAGCCCTGTTCCTCTGGTCTAGTTTTGGAGCAGCTTTGCCCAGACTGGGATAGCTAATCTGGTGTTCCACTGTTGGTACCCGAGTGACGACAGCAGAACAGAGGATAGCTTGGGTAGCTAAGCATTCATGACAGCCTCCTCCAGTGCTCAGGCAGCAGCTCTCTGAGGAGAAGAGCAGCTCCAGAACACAATCTGGAGAAGGAAGTGGAGGAAAAAAAACAAACAACAAAAAAACCACAAACACAAAACCAAAAGCCAGCAGCATTTCTCCATCCAACAGCAAGGTGTGAACTTAGATGCCAGGCAATCTGAATATAGCTAGACATTTACTAGAGGGCTGAAATATTCAGCTTGCTTATTACCCAAAGCTACTAAACCCTACACAGTCACTGGAGAGCAGCTGTGAACGTGCTCCTCTTTAACACCTCTGCTAGGTGCCTGCAGCCCTTTGTCATCTGTATTACAGCCGTACATTATCACACCAAAAAATGTTAAAGCTCTGAGCCTGGTGTCACCGGCAGAATTCCGGGTGTTTTGATCACGAGTCAGTTTGCACAACACCAGGCCTTGCTGGCAACAGACAGGGTGCACCTATCTCAAAGGGGGAACAGGATCTTTGCACAGGGGCTAGCAGGGCTCTCTGAAAGAGCTTTGAACTAGATTTGAAGGGGGAAAGGGATAAAACCAGGCTGATAAAGCCAGAGATAAGCCTGGGGATGGCATGTTTGGGGGACAGTGTGCTAGTGAGGTCCTTTGGTCTGCCATCTCAGTACAGGTAGGGACGGAAGCTATTTGGCTTAGTAACGTTTACTTTACTGCAAGAAAGACAAGGTAAAAACCTGTCTGTGGACTGTGTGACAGATTAAACAAGATGATTCTCCCTGTTCACCTAGCAGGCTGCTCCTAAAAGAGCACCAGCCCTTCCACATCCAGGATGTGAGGATCTTTGGATACCATCCAAGTCTGAACATAGAAGTCCTGGGCAGACAGTGACAGCTCTGCCTAACAGGAGAACACACTAACATAATATATATTAATATACACTACTATACTGACACTACTTATCTAAATATCTACTGTATTTAGAAAAGCGTACGTTAAAAAAGCAGAATTCTTTGACAACTGCTAAAATACAATTGGCATCCAATTAGGAGATCCTGAGTTTGCTTTCTGATAGCACATTAGAAAAAGCTACTAAAGAGGAATGTAACAATTTAATGAAAAATTAAATGGTTTGCTAAAGAATGTTTAAGGTATTTGGGACTCTTGGGACTGCAATCACTTTGATGAATACATCTTTTATTCAGCTTTGCACTAAGAGTTCTGAAAAAAACCACCATAATTATGATTTTAGCCAAGTTTAAGGTAACAGTGAAATACTTGGTTTTAGGTAAAGGTAGTCAAATTTTACCATATACTATGTCCATATTACTTTCAAAAAAGGTAACACCATCCAGGAAAATTCTTGTGTTTAACAAAAAACAACTTACAGGTCCAGCTTTCAATGTAAAAAATGTGACAGAAGAACACAGGACTGTAAAATAAGACAAGTGAAAACCATAAAAAACCCCCAGTGTTTAAAAACAAGTCTGTGTTGAGGTGATGTTAGACTTCCATTACCTACAGATGTATAAATGGCTCTTAAACTGACATCAAAACCACATATCGGATACACATTATATCATAACTTGACTACTAAGCTGTTTAGAGTGCAATCAATCTACTTGCTTTCTTATTCTACAACTGCAACTCCACACTACTAACAGTTTAAACCTAAACTTTGATTCACTGGATCAAATACTGCCTTAGATAAGGCAATATAACTTTACATTGAAAAAATATTCTAACCTACAATACTCAGTGGGTTATACTCACAAGGAAAACGGAGCAAAACAGTACCAACACATTAGAAATTAAACAACTGCTGTTATGAAATTGTACTGCTAAAAAGAATTACCTGTTTTTGTTAGCAGAAGATTATCCAGATGTCTATCTCCAACTCCAAGGATGTAAGTAATTACACAATAACCAGCTGTAATAAGTAAATTGTAAACATCAATATAAGTACCTTTCCTGCAGCTCAACAGGTTCCACACAATTAACAACAGCATATGACAGTATCTTAGTTCTTTTTCACTAGTAATAAATACAGTACAGACAGGGGGCAGGGGTGGTGCTGGTAAATAATAATCAAGATTATCCACACTATGAAGAACATTTGAAGTAGTAAATTAAAACTCTGAAGTTTTACTCAGTACTGCTGAGATTTTAATTTCTTACTATACAATTATACACTTAACTCTAAAAGCCTAAATTCATTCATTATTGGGATTAAGATACTTCGAAGGAAGATGAAGAGTCATTTAGAGCAAAATAAATGTACATATTTTGAAGTGAAGATATTTAAAGGCAACTGTAAACAAGGATTAGACACGAATGTGTATGTCAGCAGCATTCAGAAGCTGGGCAGCCAGCCACGCAGTGATAAACAGTGAAAGGTTTTAACTGTCACCTTCACCCACTAACCAGAACAGTTTAAAGCAGTTATAAAGACCGCACCACCAGAAAGAGAAGGGGAAAGAAGATGATACTGTAGAGCAACAACCGAATTATTATTTTATTTTTATTTTTGTAGAATGAAACTGTTTTTAATTTAATGGACAGCAACTGAGACCGTTTAACGTTGCCCTCAGTTTACTGAACAGGAACTACCCTACCACTTTTTCTTGCCATCCATATGGAGTAAGAAGTTGAAGGCAGCCTCACCCCTCAAAAAGCCCTGACGTTTTAGAAACAAATTGAGATTATCTACCTCAAATACAGATGACTTATTACACAACTGTTTTATATCTCCCTGAATTACAAAGATCTAACTTGTGATGTGGAGACGGCAGAGGTAAGATTATTGTTAGAAAGCAGAAAGAATTTAACTTCTAGTCACCTTTAAGTAGAACAAAAAGAGGGCTGAGAAGAGGAATTGTGTATGACATACCAGGCCCAAAACTACTCTGTTTATAGGGATTCCTACAGCAAGTACTTGCATAGTGCCCTATCTGCAGTTACCTTAACTGACACGTCTTAGTACCTCACCTACCCTCCCCTATATACTTCAGATATGAAGTTACCAACTGAAAGACTGTAACTCACCACAGCTCTTAACGTATGTGTCCATCACCTCTGCACTTATTCCATGAGGGCCAGTCTCACTAGGTGCGTGTTTTCTGAAGAAATTCTGGAAGGGAAGTTATCAACAGATTTTGTTATTCCACATGATCTGAAACAGGATCTTTAGAACTGGTAGAAAAGAATATTTAAATCAAGACAAACGGCTATTATTACAATCTGTTAAACTAACAACCACTCCTAAAAATTCTAGTTAAGATCTAATTTAATATTGTTTTATTTATTTTCTGTCTTAATCATCAACAGAATCAGATCCGAAGTTCAAATTGAAAAGGAGCGTGTTTTAATACAGCTTCATAAAATTAACAATGCATTGAAAAGTCACTAATGAATAACTACGAGTGCAAATACTTCCACAGGAAACTGTTTAGGCCAGAACAACAAAAAAACTAAAACAGGGCTAATAGTCCATTAGTAACTACATTTGGGATACACACTCTCACAAGGTTGTATCATCATTGTATGTCTCCATATTCCTCAATAAAACCAACTGCTACTGCATTTAAAAGGAAAATCTAAGTCATCAAAGGGAAACTTCACATTTCCTGTGAAATGTGGACAGGGCTAAAACAGTCCATCCCCCACCACTCAGAAAAAAACTTTTTTTTCTTGACCAAAACAAAAGGTAACTAAATTAAATCCAAGCCTAAGCATAAAGTTCTTCCAGTAAGCAAACATAAATCCAAGCAAGCACTGTAAAGGGAGCTTTGTATGCATCTGGATGACGTATAAATGACTAAAATCATAATGAAAAAATGAAGGGAATCTTAAAAAAGGAGATGGTACCGAAGAAAGGTACCTTCAGGCTATTCAAGAAAGCTTTGCTTGAAAAGCAGTCATGTTGTAACACATATCAGTTTCAAGGCCTGAAGAAAGCTTTAATTACCATTGCTTACAGAGAAACAAGCCCTTCTGAGATGTTAAAAAAGCTGATAGAGTGGAAAGATTCTATTAAATGAAATCCCTAAGTGAAATATGGAAGAAAAATTTTAACTGGTTAACAAGGTAATAGAAATCTACTTCCACTGTTCCAGAATTTTACATGCTGTACGTAAACTGAAAAACACACCCAAACAAATTGCCACTCAAAACTAAACAAAAAAACAACCACCCAACACAAGACTTCGGATCATCCAAATGCTAAATTGCAGAGTGTGGAACAGAAATACCTCCAAAATATGAACTGTCATTTCAAGTTTGTTGGTAGAAGGTAAGTAACACTCAAATATCAAAACACCTTTTCTTTCCTGCAGTTCTGCATTACCAGGCAGTAATCTTTCCAGAAGTGAAACATTTTTTAGAATTTATATATAGTATCCATTTTTACTAAAACAACTGTGATATCCAAAATGAACATTTGCAAACAGAATAAACCAAACGTTTACAACACCTAAAAACGTTCATTAAGTTTTTATTTCCTTGCCCTACAATGCCAAGCTATTTTATCGTGCTTCGGCACAGGAAATTTGGGCTCTATAATGTATTTTGCCATTGATCTGTGAAGTAACCTTAGATCACATTCTTATGGCATCTTGTCTATTTAGATATATGTTATTCACAGGAAGAATTGCTCCTCATGTCTGCACAGCAATTAAAGCAGTGGGGCATCTATTTCAGATTGGAATATGTTATTATAAGTAATTGCAAAATGACAATTTCACAAGCATTTCTAAGTGCATTATTTTACAAAACATATAATGGACTAGGATATGAATAGTACATTTCCAAGATTACAAAGGATTGCTAAGAAAACACTTTATAAAACTGTATGATTACTGAACATGTAGAAGTACCCTATCACAATCTTTACAGAATGGAAAGCTCAAAAAAAACTTATGCAACTTGATGCTGGTCATTGTCTGATTAATGACAAGCATCTGATATGCTTATTTCTTAAGCAAATAATAATGACAAATGATAAGCTCCCAGTAACTGAGCTATGAACAAATGCAAACTTCAGTGATCAACTACAAAAAGGGGGAAAAAAGGTATTGTGACAAACTGAAGCCAACAAAAACATGCTGTGTTTTCATTAAAAAACTTATTAGGTACATATGTCACATGGCAATTTGGTATGTTTTTATCTAACGATATTTATCTCAACCACCTGAGCTCTGCTACCCAGCTTGTGTGCTGTGCTTGAAACTAGCATGAATTTTGTGTGCCACTATTCAGCTATGCATCCTTACTCAATTCCATTACATCCACTATGGCAGGGAAACAGGCTTCAGACATTGTATGAACAAACTATTTAGTAGTTCCATCAAAAAAATCATTAAAACATACTTTGCAAGGTATCAAGCCAAAGCTGTTGGAAGGAATGACAGAAATACTTCAAAACAAAACAGTACAGAAAAGTGTCATGCATCTTCCATTCACCATGACAGCAAGCCCAGAATTTCAGTATCACAACTAAATTACATTTTAATTTTTTAAATGGTACTACTTTTAGGACATGAGCTGCTCATGCGGTGATTTAAGTATAATTTTTTAAAATACCTGTAAATACCCTTATGTAAGGGGTAATTTCCCTTCTAACAACAGATACAAAAATCAGTTGAGAGACTAAAGACTTTTGTATGAAAACTAAGCCTGCAATTTATCCTGTTTGATCAGAAGACAACTTAAAAATTCCCCATCACATACCTGTATACTTTCCTCAGTAGCAAGAACTTCTGCAACTGGTACTGACTGAATAAACTGCATGAAGCCTGTGACAGAAACCAGAAAGAAAATCTCCAATGCATAGAACTTTCAAGCTACTCTGTAACGCAGGTTTATTAAAGGACAACACTAATACACATTTTCATTCAACTGCTTCTCATCAGCAAAAAAAAAAGTTTTGTCCCAATTTTCGACCTTCAGTAGTTTTCAAACAACTTGTCATTAACAGCAAATTAGCTTCCAAAAGATCTGTTGTTCCAAGTTTTCATGAGAAGAGAATGTAAATCAATGGCTTTCCAAACGTTTATCCAGAATGTATCTAAAACCATAGCAAGTCTGATTTTGTTTTGTCTTGTTTTTTTCTCTCCATTTTATGCAGAGATCTATAAACACGAGTGTTAAGTCATTTGTCCAAGATCACACAGAAAGCTAGTAGCAAAGATAAGATTACTTGTTGTCACACGCTCCAAAATCCACAACCAGTTTTTTGTTTTTAAATGAAGATACTTGAGTCACCTATTGAATACTGTGGCCATAGAAGTTGCTTACTTCCATGACTTACATTGCAACAAGATTTTCTTACACATTTCAGCTTCTTTTAAAACGCTGTACTAAGCAAAACACCTCTCAAAACCAGTGTGCCACAACACAGTCTATGAGCAGAGGGAGAAGATTCCTCCCAATACTGTATTTATAAGAAATAAAATATGCATACCATGTTTGGTACTAGTTGCCAGCACTTTATATGGTGTCAGCTTCAAATCCAGATTCTCTTTTCTTAACAGCTGGAAAAAAGAAAAAAACAACACAAAAGCAAACATCAATGCATTGAAAGGCAGCTTCTATTTCTAAAAGGAATGCATATTGGATACTGATCTCCACTGCTCTCCATTGAAATTAGTAACGAGTGAAAGCCTGTTCGCCAATTTATTTTTGGGGTTTTGTGGGTTTTCTTTTGTTTGTTTGTTTTTTTTAAATCTACACAGGATCATTGCATGCCTATAAAGAAAAGGAAAAAAAAGACACACCTAAGGTCTCAGAACTCTGGAATGTATTAGCACCATAAGCTGCATTAACAGTTTTTAACAGTCTTGCTCTTTATAAGGAAAACCAAGAACACAGAAGGACAGCGATGTGGATCAACAACTCTCACCTTATCCATGAGTGAAATAATCTGGAGAATAAGCTGATCTTGACGTAAATCATCACCATGCTTAAAAATTACAGGGTATTTGCCTCCATCTTCTGTCTTGAAGAATAACTGAGCAGGCATTAAGGCACTCTGGAAAAGGAAACATTCTACTAAGTTGGTTTTAGCAATGTTCATATTAACATGTTGCTAAATTACAGTTCTTAAACATAAATCTTCGTTTATGGCATTGGAGATCATAAGTGAATTAAGCAAGTACCAGGTCATAGGATTCAAGTATCAAATTCGCCTACAAAAAGGTTTAGAATAGTTTCATTTGAATACCAGCTGCAGGGCAGCAAGCACCATAGCTCTTTTCATGTTCCTCAAGTTTGTAGAAAAGAAGCAATTCCAAAGCTCCTTAAAGCAGTTACTCGCTGTCTAGGACTAAATGGGTAGAATATATAATTACCAGTTACCAAAAGCATGATCTAGGCACGTTTTTTAAAAAACCCCACAACTTAAGGCTTTCCTTCTTTTTCAGCTAGGAGTGTGAAAGATACGTTCCCCCCTGTGCACCCCCCCAGAGTAGCAGAAGAAAGGACAGAAGTAGTCAAGTTCTGTTCGTATGCATGTAATTCCTACGAACATAGAAGCACTATGCAAAAGGTCACAACAAAACAAATTTAAACTGATTAGATCAAAAAGAGACACAATTATAGGATAAACATCAAAGAAATGCTAGCAGCAAGACATCTCAACCAATTAATTGCTTCTTTAATCTATTTAGTAAAAGCAAAAATGACTTTTCACATTGTTGTTTGAGAAAGCCAATTTAATTGTTTGTAATTTCTCTGCATAAAATGGTTTGAAGGGGATCTATTACCTACATGAATGATTTGATCTATTGCAACTGACCAAGTCACCTCCCTCAAAACCAAACCAAAAAAAAAAAAATTAAGGACACAGAGTCTAATATGTGAGCAGTTACATTAGATTTTTACATGCAATGAATGTTTCAAAATTATTAAGTCCCATAAATAAAGGAAAAATGGTTCTCCAAATAGTCCGACAAAAGCTGCCATGTGATGTCCAAGAGCATCAAAAATTAGTCATTCTTCCCTTTGTTTTTTATCCCATAGTACAGAACGAGAGATTAAACCAAAATCTGTAACATTTCAGAATCAGGAGAACTGAAACCATCCCTGATTTTGAAACAAGTTACATCTCCTATTTTTCGTCCTAAACTTTCAACACCACTGCAGAAGATCACTACATAGAAGACTACCTGACTTGAGATTGTCCTGATCAAGTTGAGCTATTATTCTTGATAGGAAATATTTAGTTGCTGTTCCAGCAGTCTTCATGTCAACATTCTTCCCCCAACCCTCAAGTCATATTCACGCTGAAAGTTAACTCAAGTTTGCAAAACCTTGTTTTCCTGACAAGATCTTTCCAATGTTGCCTCTAACCGGAGGTGCAAGTGTGTGCAACGGAAGAAGCGTACTCTTCAAAAAGACTAACTGGTATATGAGGAAGCAAGCCAAAGCTGGGAAACCAAGAGACAGTACGGTAGAAAACTATGCAAAAATGTTCCTCTCTGATTTTAAGTAGACACAAATTGTACCAGTCAACAAGCAGCCTGTCAAAGTTTGGATCTACTGGGTATAATAAATTTATGACCTAGTAGAGATGACCTAGTAGAGATGACAGATTAACACTGGTTGTCACGGCAGCTCGTACATTTTTTAACCAGCAGAGAATGCCTCCTGGACAAGGCCTGACTTGTAAAGCATATTTTGGTCATTTTAAAATTAAATCACAGTCACCTAGACGAGTTCAAAGTAAACTTACAAAGAGGTCCTACCCCACTGGACACAGGCAATAACTTACATTCCAAGCAGTACAGGAAGCAAAATAACCCCAGCCCTTTCAACAGTGTATTGACTGTTTAATAACGAGATCCAGGGATGGCCACAGGATCACAAGCAACTGCTACAGATCAGTTTAAGGACTTATCAACCACAGGGATACAGGATCCACCTGTCAGTGCACTGCAAAAGCATGAAATGGACCATCTTATCACTTTCCTGTCTCTAACAGTTTAATGTTTTTATTTTGCAACGCCATAGATGCATACCTCTACCTGAGATGCAGCACTTGATTTGTATGATTTTGGTCATAAGTGGTATTCCTGTTAAACACAGTCTAACTGAAGTTCAAAGAAACCTGAACTAGGAAGCATGCCTTAAGCTTGGGGACTTCATAAACTTCACCAGTTTTATACAAGCTGCTTTAAAGTTTGTGTATTAAGCTGGAAAAAAGTTTCACAAAGAAAATACAGTTGTTTAACCACTTTAAGAGCACAGTACATCTTGCAGTTAGTTACATCTTGCCTTGACTATGTCAGCCCCTTTAAATCATTCAACTGATGCTCATAAGCTTAGTGCTTATAAGATTTGTTTGTACGTCAGTGATGCAGGTCTCATTTACCTTGAAAAGCGTGGCTTTTTCAGGGATTATCCCTTTAATTTTCACCTGAGGTTCCAGCGGAAGTGGAATAAGTTCCATATCTGCTAAATTCATCTTTTCATTATCTGCTAACAATGCCTGAAGCCTCTCATTCTAAAAGAATAAAATAAAAACTTGTTTAAAAAAATACACAAACACCATAAAACATACTAGGTATATAGGAACAGTTAAAAAGTCTTTTAACAAAGATATGTTATTAATAACCATCCAATTTACTCAATTCTTTACTTTTCCAAAGAATCAAGGTTTCACTCTCAAAATCCAGCGAAATAAAAATTCTCTATTTGCAGTAATCTGAATAAGGAAGCAAATATTCCATGTAGTCTGAGTACAGTCAAGTAATTTTATAAGTGCCAAATATAATAGTCTTACAAAAATTTATTTCTAAAATTGGCTGCACAAGTAGCAGGATATGTTTTCCATACCAGTATCAAATGTTAGTTCTGTTTCAGAAAGTTGGTTCAAGTCTTTAGCTCCAATCCTTTAAATCCCTGAACAAAACTGGAGGTCCCCTACCACCAACGAACCAAATTGCTAACAGATTGCATAGATCTGATTTCAGAGCTTGCTCTATGTTCCTACACCTGTAGTTACCAGAAATACAATACTTGTCAATCTTCGAGTACTATACACTTGGTGTCCTACATAATAAAGGTCAAACACATAAAAGTGTTTAGTCTTTTCCCCTGCTGAATATAACAGGCATAAAGACACAGCAAGGTAGCCCACTACCGTTACGAATACTTCTAGTGGTTCATTGCTGATAGCTAGATTTTGATCCAAAAATCAAAGCCATGTATTTCTTAGTTTTACAGAAGTATCCTGGCAATTATAAAAGACTGTATGACAGAACGTTACCAATACATGGCACAACCAGGAAATACATTCTTACAAATTGAACTCCCCCTCCTCTTTTAGTGATTACATCTTTATTACAGATACACAGCACATTCACAACATTTCATAAAAATGATGCTATGCTTCAAGTGTTTTTAATTTTCCTGCACAAATACCCCCCTCAGATTTAAAGAAAGAAAGTGACAAAAATTATTACACTGAAAAATCCCTGTTTAAAAATACTGATGTGTGTCAGAGGAAAATACACAAACAGCAACCCCTCCGGCATTCATGCTTCCTCATACTCATCTGTCAAGTTGACTGAAACTATTTTAACTAAGAAGGACAAAGTTTCTTAAGACACACCTATGATAGAAATCCTTCTCCTCAAGCTGCAATAGAAGGCAAAGTTCTGCTAAACACACACTTTATAAAAGAATAGTCTTGCTGCTCTTGGAACAAACAAAACCTTGCTGCTAGTCAAATTTCACTATCTATCCTGGCATAACTCTCACACCACAATCTCTGCTACCTTCCCACCTCTCCCACAACTTGTTCACTGTTAGATCATCAACTGATCAGTTATTCTCATATCTTCCTTTTCCCAAAATATCCAACGAGTTTTTTCAAGGGCCTCTTCTGTTTTTCATCTACAAACTTTCAGACCACTTTGGAACTTCGACGTACCTAAACCTCTCCAAAGTTTGTTTAAAGTAATAAAAAATTATTACAGAAAATCTGTTGTAAACCTCAGTGATAGGAAGTTTTAGTGAAAAGCTAACACTCCTACTGTCAAATTCTAGCCAGAGATAAGTTTTCAAATCCTTTAGTTACCTTCTTCTTACGATTCCCACTTTCACGCTGCACTGCTTTCATTACATGAACCAGCCGATCTACAAATGTCTGCTGGGCTGCCAACAGCGAACGCATAACTCTGACAGACTTATCACCCTAAGTGAATCAAAAGAAACAAAATTAGTTCTTTGTTCTGTAATTATTTTATCTAGAAATTATTCCTTTATTCTTAGACCTTCGGGCTTTTAAGAGGTAAGTGAATAACGATCAATTTTCTGTCAATTTGAAAGGTATTTTCTGTAAAACACAATCAGAGTCACTGTAGCTGGCAATCAATTAGGTGACCCACTAGAACACTTCAATTTGCATCAACAATTTCAGTGGTGAACAGTCATGCATGACAAACCTATTCACACAGCCAAAGCCAGTTAGTAAGGATAAGCACACTGAAATATTCTTATGAAGCACAACAGACAGATCTGAGTAACGTCCTTAAAATCAGAATTAATATGAAGTGTGAGATACAAGAAAATCAGGGAAGACTGCACATCTGCTATAGATCATAGCTTGAAGTTCACAAAAGTTAGGGTTGTTTTTGATTTTTTTCCCCACTGCTCCAGCATCCCCTGCTGCCGATACACAGAACAACACTGTTTATGAATTCATTCAAGAGGTAGGTCTCTCGTCCCCATTTGCGCCACAAGCACAAGTGCTTCCAAATAAAGAAACAGTTAAATAAAACAGACTGATTACACAAGGCAGAGGATTTCAGGTCCAGCATGTTACTAACAGGAACAAGCAATAAAATAGAGCTAAGAATTCTGAATACTACTTTTTTATTTTTCAGTAATTTCTTTGATTTAGCTCAAAATTCAAGTAAAAGTGGAAGCTTTTTTAACATTTCAATACATACGACAAAAGACTGTTGTCCTCCTACACACCAGTGCCTTTTTAAAGAATAACTATCCCAAAACACTAATATTTCCTTACACAGAAGCATTACCTTCAGCAAAGCCTGACTAAATCTTCTCATCACATTTAAGTACATTTCGTGAGTCTTTGGGTCCCTCTGCTGAGTGTCTTGGTCTTCACATTCCACTATCACATACCTGCAGCATAAAAGCAACCCAAGTTATGACGTACTCTCCTGCTGCACCATTTGAATGAAATACAGTAGCCCTGTATTATAGGCCTATAATATGCTACAAATAAAGTCGATCTTTGAAGGAAATCTCCACCTCAACCAACAGGTGAACTCTTCAAAATGGCACAGTCACAAATTCCCACTTGGATCAGGACAGCCTATCAAAGTTTCTGAGGTCTTTCACTCACAAACAGGATAAGTCAGAAGTCCAAAGCATACAAACAATCCAAGCAAGGAGTACACGTGGGAGGAGTCAGCATTCCACTGCGCTACTGCTCTCTACATAACGTAGTGGCTGCAAACTTGCTATTCAAGTATACCTGCAGAAACAAGAGGAATCTCATCCTACCTGTTCCCTATTTTACCTTTAGCAATGGTGGAAGGACGGTATTGCTCCTGAAGCAGCACTGCAAAGCCCACATTCCAAAATAAGTTAAATTTCTAAAATTATGACTCAGGTACAAGATTTAAACAGTACAATTTGGGACAGTTATAGTGAAATTTTCTCTTGACATGTTAACCAGTCATTTCGAATGCTTTTGTGCTTTTTTCTGTTCAGAGCACTGACAAGCAAAAAGCAGCTATGTACGGAGCGTTTTCTTTCTGTTGATCTCTTAGTACTACCCAGTAAAAACATATAACCCTGCTATTAAAAAACGGAAGAAATCAGCAAGTCAGTCTATTTTCAAACACTGCATTTGGATTCAAAAGTGACTCTACACATTCAACAAATACAGTTGTACTTCATGCTGACAGCTAGAATTACCCCTTCCTTATTCAGTTGTGGAGAATCTCTTTGCAACTGAATGATTATGGGACAAGATTACACATCTGTCATTTGAAGCTGATCAGATTTGACTACTTATTTATAAATACACAACATATACAGAATAATAGAACGGTTTGTGCTGGAAGGGACGTTAAAGACCACCCAGTTCCAACCCCCCTGCCATGGGCAGGGACACCTTCCACCAGACCAGGTTGCTCCCAGCCCCATCCAGCCTGGCCTTGAGCACTGCCAGGGAGGGGGCAGCCACAGCTGCTCTGGGCAGCCTGTGCCAGTGCCTCACCACCCTCACAGTCAAGAATTCCTTCCTAATATCTCATCTAAATCTTCCCTCTTTGTTTGAAACTGTTTCCCCTCACCCTATCACTACCCTCCCTGTTCAAGAGTCCCTCCCCACCTCTCCTGTAGGTCCCCTTTAAGTACCGAAAAGCCGCTCTAAGGTCTCCCCAGAGCCTTCTCTCCTCCAGGCTGAACAGCCCCAACTCTCTCAGCCTGTCCTCACAGGGGAGGTGCTATTACACACATTAAAATAAGGCACACATAACCTATTCCATGAGCATTATCTCAATGAAAACTGTAACTAAAGATTACCTCTAGAACTTTGCCAACACACTGTTCTAAATCATTCCCTCACTAAAACGACAAAATTAGATTGCAGTAATATGCACGTACGAATAAGTGCGTATTTACAAAGTCCATGCACCAAAACTTCAAGGAAAATAAGAAGTAATGAATTGAAACATGCCATTTTCATCTTCATTTGTCAAAAAGCCCTAGACAGTTTCTCAAAACTATCTTGGAACAAAAAGTAAGAGTAATGCTTCATACGTGGATAGGTGTCTCATATGTCCGAACAAGAGACCGAAAAAGAAGCAGCGCTGACTTCTGTAGCCACTGTTAATGTGTAAGGATAGGATAGCTTTACAATGACAAGTGACTCAGCAGGAGGTTTGGTTTTCAAGGGTTACTGTACTTTTTCCATTGATTATTTTAGGTGCATGCTGTGTCTGGATGGCTGAAAGAAGTAATTGATCAGCAGCCAAGCGGATTTATGGCTACATCAGCTCAAACAGTGACTGCAACATTTGTATTTTGTCACTGAAAAATTGAGATGTCTGGAAAGAAAACAAAAAATAAATTGACTGGGTTTGGGGTGGGTTTGTTGTGGTTTTTTGCTGGGTTTTTTTGGTGGATTTTTTTTTTTTTTTAGTCAGAAAAAAACTTCAGAGTTCTGGATGTTGGAACTTTCTATAGAATGAATGTCAGAAATGTTGACAATATCGAAGTGCACAGTTTCTATCAACATGATAGAAATAAGCTAACCTACTAACACTTGATTGTAATGAAAAATATTTTATTAGGTCAACCATTTGGTTTCTACTGACGTCAGTTCAGCCTGCAATTATTTTAATCATTTAAATTTAACACCACTTTTTTCTGAAGCCAAATACTATCTTTGACCACTGCAACAGAAGTATGTACAGTAAGTAACTGTAGTTAAGTCATACATTTAAATATTTTGAATTCAAGCTACTGAAAAAACAAGGAAATAATAAAAACAATAATAAATGTAAAAGACATTTACAAATGGAATCACTCTCAGGACAGGTTAAGAATTTTATCAGAACAGTTTGGTAGGTTTACATCACATGTCACACTCCATTCCCAACTCACGATTTATGTGTTGTTAATACTCATGGCATGATCACATGATCATGTGTATTAGTAGTTTTAATTATTAGATTAAATAGATCTACAAAAGACACAAAAAAGAAACATTTGACTTAAATTTAGCCACACAAAAGGCATCTGGGCTCTCTATTTTAAAATACATGTGTTGTGTATATGTATATATGTACATTAATACATATACCACACTTTCACAGAGTACAGCTCTATTCGTCTCAACTCTTCAAATGAGATAACCCCTATCTGCAAATGCTTACTCAGAAGGTATGCAGATAACTAGTTTAGGCATCTAATTTAATTCCTAAATGACTGAAGAGAGACAAGATCCTTATCTAAGTAGTCTTACCTCAACTATCTAGAGGAACTATTTATAACCATAGCTCTCCCTTAAGAAAGCAATGACATTTCATTTGTGCTCATAACATAACCACAAACGGAATCTAAAAAATAACAAGGTTAACACAAAAAAATTGGTGCTTTATGAACCTTCAAAAAGTACACTCTTGATTAATACTGAAGTGCCTAACTTCCAATATCCTAACCAACATTGTCAAAAACTATAAACACAATACAAACAGAAAAGCAGATCAGAAGATGAACTTTATCTCCTCCCCATCACCATAACCAATTTGAACGACAACTTAGAAACTATATAGGCCTTTTTTGGTTTTGACCACTGTATTTAATGGCCTACAAATCACCTTCCTTTGCCTAACAGTAAAGCATATTTGTGCATTTTAAAAACCAATGCCCTTCTCTTACTTATTATTCTGTTCAAATGCATAGTGTTTTAAGTCTACTACTTCACCCTGAGAGAAACTGAGATTCTCAAGTTCTCAAGACAGGTCATCCTTTGCTGTGCATCCGTCTGGGCATTATAGCTTTGATTTCAATTAGACATTGATACAGTATGAATAAATAGTTTCTAACTTACCAGTACAAGTAGTTTGCCAATGTGGAATTTTTGCATGCTCGTGATATCAAGAAAGTGCAAAGGTCTTGCTGGAAGGGATTTAAGATAAGCAAAATTAAGTTATAAAGAAGTCTAAGCACTTGAGAGAGAGATGAAGTTAAGATAAAAAACCCAAATAACTGTAAGGAGTTTTGAGAGATACATTCCCTTCTAAAATCTGAATCCGACCCAACCTAACACATATATCACATTAGTTTTAGTATTATTCCAAATCCAGCAGCAACACTACAAGTAAAAAAAGGTGTGCTACTACAGTAACATATTTACTAACGTGTCAAAAGTGCATGATGTTCACCAACTGCAAACCTTTTAATGTAAAGTTTCTGTTTACAATATATTGCCCTTCTCCTCCTATGCAATTATCCCTTGCTATAAGTTTCAAGCCTGAAAGGGATTTGCTACCCTGTTTTGCATCCAGAACATCTACAATTCTTTAAGATGTTCATTTTAACGTAAAGAAAAAAATCTGTAGAGGATACAGAGCACTTAGCTGCTTTTTCAAGGTTTAATATTCCAACTAATAAGAAATCCGTGTATCTTCACTGATATACTCAAATTGAGGCTTATTTTCTATGCAGTACTGAGACTCAAAAAGGAATATTTGTAATAGAGAACAGATCTTTAGTTCAAAGCCCAGTTAACTGCACATCAGATTAAAATCAGATTCCCTCAAACTGTCTTTACCTTCTATCTTTCCCTCCCTCCAGTCCCACACTTATTACTCTCCTACTTGTGGTATAAACTGAGTATAATCCTTGGCAGATGTAAATCAACACAGTGCCTCATTGAGGTTCAAAAAAAGATGACATCCATGCCAAAGAACATGGCTACAGGAAGAACAGACTGCAGAGATTAAAACATTTGGATAACTGTTTTTCATTAAAAAACCTGCTTTAAAACACCTCAAACACATGCAAGTGTCATTATCTAGTCAGCATGTGATAACCTTTCCAGTAATTTTCTCCTTTAAAGGAGAGTACTTTAATTTTATTAATTCAATGTCCAGTCCCCCAGTTTTGGATAATGTGACTATGTAAATAGATGGCCTGTAAAAAAAATGCAATTCAGTTAAGCTACTGCTAGTTTCTTAGCATTTAGTTTACATTTATATTCTTTGAGTACTTTAAGTATTTGGCAAGATACAGTAGAAAGATTCAAATATTCACAAACAGAAACTAAAAGCAGTATCAGCTCACTAAAAAAGTATCAAAAATTACAAGGTAAAGCACTTGACTTACATCAAGGTTTTCACTGTCTGCAAGCTCCTTTGTTTTACAAGTAAGAGGTGGTGAGGAAACAGGTGGAATAGGACTCATGATCTGAGAACTACAGAAAGGAAAGCATGTAACTGGCATGATTCAAAGCTCTTTGTCGGGGAGCAGGGGGCATGCATGGAAACAGCAATGCATTTCACTTCCACAGAATAATAAATTCAGAAAAATGGAAGCGAAGTATCTTGGAACGCAGTATCTCAACCGTGTTTCAGAACAAACTACATGAACAGCAAGTTTGACAGCCACAGTTCCTGAAAACAGCAAAAATCTGTGCCTGGATAGATATAGGGCTTATGGCTGTGAAGGACATTCACTTAAAATCAAACTTAGCCATTTGTTTCATCCTCCATAAAAAATAAGCAGACATAGATAGGAATTTAGCAAGGACACATTTTCAGGATAAGCTTTTTTAAAAACGTTCTTAAGCTGAAATTGCTAATACTCAACACCTGCAAGCACTCGTCTCTGGAATGCAATTACACATAACAACGTAGACAAACCCAATGCTTGCAATTGGAAAATTATGAGACAGTAAATTTACCTGGAAGGAAGTAATCAAACAGCTCTACTAATGCCTAAGTGTCATTGCAGCCTCAAAATACACCATGCATCCCAGGACACCCACTCTACAGCTTAGCAGCAAGGCAGCATACACGTAATACAAGAAGTATACCCTAGTGATACAAGTGATTAGATGTCGAAGCTTAAGACTAAAAATCCTGGAAATTTGTATTAAATATTCACAGGAGACTTCAGTTAACCAAGTTTGTTTGCACCTTACTTAATACTGTATTAATCAGGTACATCAGCCTTTCTTTTGGATGCCTGCAGGAATCAAAAGTGTGCTCCTTCAGCTCCTTTAGATTCACAGGACTCTCCTTAACGCCTTCTTTTGCAGGAGCAGGAACAAATTTCTTTTTATTTCAGACTTTCAGATCCATATTCTTTGATGAAAGTGGGAAACAGAGCCTCATGCAACTTCACTGAAGGCATCCTAACTTTTGCAAGGACAGAAGGAAGCAATGCCAGTGTTTTTGCTGCTCTCCAGAAGTTGTCTTCCTTTTGTGCAGTAAAGGCCAAAGGCCACAACTTCAAGATTAAGAGAGTTTGCTCTGTAAACTATCTGTAGTCATGCCATACATTCCGTGAAAGCTCAGGGGTTAGTTTTTTATTACTTTTTATGTCACCGCTTCAGATTATAAAATACGATGTTGATTAGGCAATGGTCCTTAAAAATGAGAAAGAATTTGAGGGCTTACAATGTTCCATGTTTCTGCTTTTCTACTGGAAATCTAAGCTTCTTACCTGTCTATTTCTGCACCATTAGTTCCAGATGTTGTCATACTTTCTGACATTGAACCTTGACTGTCTCTCTTGCTAGGTTCCAGACCATTCTTTATGTCATCAAAGTTTTCATATTTCAATGCCTGGACTAACTGTAGCAGGTACATCAGCAAATCCTCATGGAGGAAAAAAATGAAAATGAATTGAGCTGGTCAGTCGAAGCTAACTAGGACTCCATATGTTTTCAGAATTCTAATTTATAGAAAAACTTAGCCATGATTTAGTGACCTATAAAGAAATGGAAACTGCGGTCTCCCTGGCAAGCAATATACAATAGAAATACTGGTGTAGGATAAAGTTTAACTCCCCACAGATACTGAATTATCACAGTACTATTTTTCTGTTACTCTAAGGTACTAAATGCTAATTAAGTAAATATTTGAGTGCAATTACTACTTTAAAGGTCTCTTTCGTTAAGATGCCCTACTTGCTTCCAGCATCCACAAAAGAAACTTTTCAGTTTGTGGCTCCCAAGAAGAAAATTCAAGCATAAAACCTTGGTACCAGGAATTCAGGTTCTCTCCTCTCTTCTGCACTGTCTTTTTTTTTCCTGACCCCTTGTGTAGCTGGCAATTCAAAAAAACACCCACATATCTATGCCAGATTGAAGAATAGATTTTTAATCGCTTGCTCTTTGTAATGAATTTGTTCCTGCTACTATTCCACTTGCTCTGTTTAGTTCCCTTCAAATGTTTTGTAAATGGTACTTTCAAAGTCAAAGCAGCATGAACTTGGCTATTGAGGTAAGCTTGCAAAAACTTGATATACTTGTGCTCCCTATTTTGAACTCTACTGATTGCCAAAGATTCAAGAGTTATGGTAATATATTCAAAGTATTATTTTTACTGTCAAAATAAAATAAAACATATAAATAAAATTTAACAGATTAGCATCTATTAAGCGGGCTCTACTCACAAGCCACAGCTCATTATATTCTGATCCGTATACAATCAGAAATACCTTATCTCCACAGATGCTTTTCTACTCACTTTCTTCAGCAAGAGAATGACAATACACTGCTTCAATTTACCAGGTGGATTTGTTGGAAATCTTTTAGTAGACTATTTAAATTCAGAGTACTCCTATGCAGGTTAACATTCAAAATCTATTGCTGGTTTCTGTGGAGAACATACAGTTGTTTCACTTTGTTTGACAAAACCAGCTATCACTGGCTCTTCACACTAAGACTATCATCAATGAGTGCCGCTTAATAATGTGAAGACTTTGCTCCATAAAGATTTTATAGTAAACAGCACCAGTGAATTTCTTTTTTTTTTTTTGGTTTTCCATCACTATTATTCACTTAAATGCCTTAAAAAAAATAGCAAACGTTTCAAGTACTCAATGAGACTAAAAATCCTGACAGGACCTGACTTTCACATGTACCCACAGACCAATGAATACCTCATCATCAGCTTGCTGAAGCCTGGCAACAGCATAGCGCCGAACCGTTGGGTTGGTGAAGTGAGATGACAGGAGTTCTAGAGAGTCTTCCACATCCATGGGCTTCCACCTGCCCAGCAGCTCCAGTGCTTGCTTTGCCTCTTGTGGTAGGTCCCAGTTGACACATTTTAAGAATTTTGTCAAGGCCTAAATAGAAAGAGATGGGACAATTCACCAGTGAAAAGCCAGGCTAAACAAATTACTTCAGAAATTAATTTTTCACATTAAGGTAGAACTATATTCAGACTGTATTTACATCAGCACAGACCTGGGGAACCTTACTGATGTAAGTGACAATACAATAGTGGATTGTTTTAATATGTACCCAAAAACTGCATATGAGTTATGTAAAAAGTAAAGTTAATGGTTAATGCTCTACCATAATTACCACTACACAAAAAATTCCCACTGCCAGGGGATTATTTAGTTATTTAGTTTGGGCTTTTGGTGTGCTGCTACTTATTCTGGTAATGCTAACCCTAGTCCAAACGGGATGAAGAAGATCCTCCTTCATTGCTGAAGACAAAATTGGCAACAGCGGTATTTTAAGCTGTTTGTCAGTGTTTGTAAAAGATTGCTCTAGTAATAGCTAGTTCACATGATTTAAGAGAGAAAATTACAGTCACTAATTTTAAAATCAGTAAGAAAAAGTTAAAATAACCCTGACTAGCTTCTAAGACACTGAAGCTCTGTCTATCTGCAAGGACAGGATTATTGTAGAATGTCAGATCAAGCACCTCCTGCATTACTAAGTCCTCTCAAATCATACAACGTACCTTCTCCTGATTAGTAAGGTAATATCTGAATTTCCAAACGAGATCCTGTTCTTCATATGTCAGCTGCTTTGTCGGTGGATAACTCACTATGATCTATTAGATACACAGTGAGAAAATGAGTTTAAAAACATGAAAAAACATGAACAGACACAATCATCAAGTTAACAGACTACACTGTGACAAAGCACAACACTGACAACACACAAAAATAGCTGGGGAAAAAAAAAACAACTTTCCAATGACAGAAAGTTCTTATGCTATGGTGGTGATGTTCCTCAGTTACAAAGTTGATTAAGCTGGCAGCGCAGCGCAGGCAAACATACACAGTTACTCTAAGACTACAATTTATACCTAGATGATACGTGCACAATATGTGTTCTTACTGCCCCAAAACTGTTTTACAAAAGAGCAAGCACCTTCTGCTCCTTTCTGAGTTGGTCCCATCCAACTAAGCACTTGGAAGAAACATTCAATATTTCTTCATTAATGACTTCATACATAAACTGAAATTAACCTTATTTTCCTTAAATTGTCACCATCTATCAATACCAACCTACCTAATAAAATTTAATTTAATCATCATATGACTGACTTACATTAAGCTGATCTCGGGTAGCTGCATTAGGCTTCAGATCATGATCAGAAGGTCCACTTCTTAAACTTCGAGCAAGCTTATGATGTTTGCTTTCTACTAAGTTCTCCTAAATGCAGAGGGTAAGTCAGTATTTATAAATACTTAAACTCCGGAGAAAATTACTATTGAAATTAAATCATCTAGCAAAGACTCACCAGTATCTTGAATAAAGCATGGCAATTAAAATTCACATCTACAACTACAGTGTCTTCGTGATTTTTTTTGTTGTTGTTTTAGAAGAAACTCCTTCAATAGTATGTGGAGGGTTGTTGGGGATTTTGAGTTTTTGTTTTGTTTTTTTACTTCACACAATTATAAACCCTATCTTGCCTTTTGGTGAATTGCTGCAAAATGTAAGCGTTTCAATCAACACATCCATGATTTCGACAGCACTCAAATGTGCTAGCCACTTCATACACATTTATTTAGGATGATGTTTGCAGTATAAAGCTCTGTATGCAAGAAACATCTCAAAAAGTTTTCCCACTGTTAATACCATGTTAGCAACAGTAGGAGCCACAATAGGAGCCACAGTGTCAACGAGATTTCAGCAGCCAAGGCAGTTTTCAGCAGTCAGACTTGCTCTTGCAGTGTTAGGTTACACAGTGCTCAAACAGTGTTGCCAGTAGAAGCCCACTTACATTAAGGTTCCCAAAGCTGCCAATACCAGTCCCACTGAATTGGCATCCACAATAATGGAAATCTTTTCTAGAATACTTAGGCACTGTCTACATGAAAGACAACATACAAGAGAGTGTAGGGAGAAAACATTTTAACAGACGAAGTGACTAAGAGTTACTGCACCATCCTCCAAATTTCTCTTCTTCAGCTCCCTCTTACCTTCTATTCCCACCCTCTGACCTCTTTTGCCAACAATCCCCCTCCTCTCCTTTCCTAAACCTCAGAAGCAAGCGCATCAGGTATGGATAGGAGGAGATGAACCTAAGCATTAAATCAATTCTTCTATTTTAATCTAGCAGCAGCAGGAAAAAAAAACTGATTAAAAAGTCAAACCCACTGATATTTCTCAACTGGTCAAGTACATCTTTCCACAGGAACTTTAAAATTCTGAAGATAGCTATATAGGCAAGCTTTTGTTTCCATTTATGAAAACTTCAACAAAAATACCATAATACAGATTGCTTTACACAGAGCATGCTTACCATAGACATCTGGGGATCTGGAATCTTAACAATTTCAGAACTTGTCAGAATTGGAGATGACTCATCACCATCCTGAATGACAAACAGTTAAAGACATATTACACATATCAAGTTTTAGGAAAAAACCAACATGTTATATTGATGTATTGTAAATGATACTACAGTTAGAGAATGATGCAACTGCACCTTGCTGACTTTCAATAGTTTTAAAGTGGAAAACAGAAAATAGGAGATTTATTCTTTTTCTTGTTAGTCTTTGCCAGATGACAAACAAGGTGGGAAGACGGATGAAAGCTCATCCGGGGAAACACAGCTTGGCAACTCACTACCATGCTGGTGCACAGGTGAGTGCAGAAATTTGCCATTATCGTTACATGCGTCCTCTGGAAGCACAAAGAGAAATCAAATCAGGGTCCTCATTTCCACCAAACCCAAATCATTTCCTAGAAATAACAACCATGTTGCAGAAAATACCTCCTAATAGTTTGACACAGACAAACTCAAGGAAGATAAGACGTGTGCCTATCTATCACAGGTTCCACATGGAACGGGATAGTCTCTTCTGGAAGCTTGTGCTGTACTGCTCTGGAGCAGTACGACAGGAGCGCACTAGTTTTCCCTGGAGGACTCTAACCTGCTGCTCCATAAATAAGGGAAGGGAGAAGCTTTAAGTTTTCTGTTTGAGCAGGCAGAAGGTAAAAATACAAAGCCTGCCACCACATGACAAAAACAGCAACTGTTTCTCTTTTCTAGTCACACTCATCAGTTCGGGATTCATTTTTTTACCTTAGAAGTGTAACTAAGTGTTGACGTGATCTACAGAAGAACATTTCATTTAGAAGACAATATAAAATGGTAAAACATAAAAAAAAAAAAAACAAACCAAGACAACACTGCCATGATACATGCTGTGCTGTATTTATACTTAGTTTGCTCACATTTATTTTAGAGTAAATTCCAGCTCAGAACAAAGCTTTTTTGACATATCAACATTTCCCTCAATAATATAAGTTTTGAGATAACTTCCTCAGGTTTCCTTCTGCCCCCACCCTCCTTTTTTTTCTTCTCTCCTGCTTTTCTAATCACATATGCCTCTTGGGATGGCTTTGCTTTTATACTTTTCAAAGTTAATTTTCAAAGAAGTGAGGAGCTTTTACCAAGGCGAAGAAAAGAATCATTCACCACCAGCAAGACAAAGGACTTAAAATTGCCAGTAACCTTTCAGGAGAAACATTTTTTCCCAGCTACATAAATTTTGTGTTGCCGACTACAGCAAAAGATCTCTTACTATTAAAACGCATGTTCAAGACGGACACTTCTGTTACACTTATTAGTATCCTATGCATTTCTGAAGTAACAGTTTTACAGTCAAAAGAAGGGCAGTAACAACACACATATCCTTCCCAGGTAAGAGAAATACACATATCAACCTGGCTGTGGTTGATGATGGTCCCAGAACATGAGTAGGACTGCCTTTCCCATTAATCTTTTAAAAAGTACACGTGGAAACACTGAAGAGGACAAAGAGCACAGTTGCTTACAGTTTCTCTGTTTTAAACCCCCACTGCCATAATAATGAACTTAGCGTTAACCTAATTCTATAGAATTAATACCATTTCCAAAACACTTCCATTATAACACAATACTACAGTATCACTTTAACAGTAGACTGGACCGAGTCAGAGCCATGCTGACAGAGCAGCGCTCTCATTGTACTAAAACCTCTGCCGTCTCATCAGGCAGAACTTTCAGATCATGTTGCATTAGTTTTACAAAGTCAAATTACACAAAAAACAATGAAACTGTTTGGAGGGGAAAATTCCTCTGAAAGTAAGCAGCTGATGACAAGAGATGACAGACCAATTTCCATCTACTAATTGGTGATCTTCCTAATCAAAACCACAAAAAGGCTGCAACCCAACTGGACCTTTGTAAAACAACAAAGGATTACCAACACCCCAGTGACAAACAAGTTTCCACACTGTTTAGACCCTTCACATAAAAGTACTGTAGGAAAAACCTGACACAGGACTCACTAGCAACTAATAAATGTTCATTTATATAAATAAACATATTTTATATATAGGGGGGGTTTTTTATATTTATTTATATAGATAAATGTTCTTGCCTTACCGAGGCATTTATAACATCCATATCCCATGTAGATTCTCTAGGGATAAGTAGTAGTACTAATACCCATACTACTACATCTTTCTCTCAGCAAAAACATTCAGATAAAACAGCTATAAAATGAAAGAATCTGACAAAGCTTTTAGGCTGGTAAAAATAGAGCACCTACCCCACAACCAAAAGCCTATGACAGCTATTACCAAAAGCTCAATTGCCTAAAATTTGCTTACTTACAAAACTAAAAAATGTGCAAAGCCTTCCAGTGCCTCATGTCAAATTGTTTATAATACGCTCTAAAACAAAGAGTGGGGACTTTTTCCAAAACTAGTGTTAAAAGAAAGATTTCTAAACTCATTGCTGACATCTCTTTCTTTAAGTTTTCAAAAGAAATACTATAATGACTGTTCTTCTCTTCTCAAATGCAGTTACATTATGCTAAAGAGCCAAGCGGAAAAGCTCTATTTACTCAGCTCAAGCACTAAAAAAATCTGTTCAGTGTTTCATTGCATTTTAGAACAAATTCTTAAGCTTCAACCAAAACTTGCTACAAAAAAAAGTTTTGCCAAGCATTTGTGGGACAAATCAGTGTGTCAGGAACGAACAACATTTTCAGAACAGACTGTTTCATGAAATCCTCAAGAAAGCACAATGCCATTAGTTTGCCTGTGAAGGACGTCAGTTGTTAAATTTGCCTTCCGATTAGATTAACTTGCAGCTCTAATTCTCTGTCACGTTTGGAGAGCATCACAGGGATCACTGTGACCCTGACCAATGAAAATACACCAAGGCCTGAGGGTCAACTCTCATCTGAATCTGGTCAAGTGCCTTTGAATTGTCTCTCCTGACCATCCCCATGCAGTGCACTTTAGTTCAAGTTCTAGAAATACCTAATGTCCTCCAGCTGCCAACAGTCATTCTGCCTGTGGGACTTGATTAAAGCTAGTCCCAAGCATAAGAGCACACTGCAGTGACCTCCTCACTCTGTAAATCTGCTCCTCTTGGCTGTGTCACTTGGCTAGCACAGCCAGAACCTGAGATGACCTGGGAAACAAAAGCAACATCAATACTAAACAGCATTTACACTACTTTAAACCACTTGCTTTAAACTACCACGTTACAGAGCTTTAGAGGCACTTCACTACACTACGGTCAGTGTGTGTGACTTCATATAAATATTAGTGTCCATTTAAGAAAGCAAACAAAACTTGCGGAATTTTCTGAACGAGCAAGGTTCTTCCGCACTTTCCTGAAAATCAGTTTCACACAAATAAATAAGGAGGTTCTATTTATCTTACTCTTTAGTCAGAACATCATTTCAAGGAACACCAATGGGATCCAACTTCTCCCACACAAAAATACATGGACACCCAATGCTGTAGACACTACTTTTTCTTTCTTTCAAGCCATGAAAAAGGCTCTGACAGTAAGACTACTTTTTTCTTTTTCCCAGTAAAATGGATGCAGCAGTGCAATCAATTTATTTACTCAAAGGTTTCACTTGAAACCTACACAAAACCACATTAATGATAAATGCTGGTGTTATTTGCACTTGGAAAGTCACACTGAATTTTTGCCTAAATAGAGAATCAGAAGCGATGCTCTCGTTACTAGCAGGCTGCTATCCTTCACATCTTGAACACTGCATTGAAATTAAGTTAACAGAGAACATGGAAAGAGCCACTGCCACGTCAATGTAATTGAATGTTGAGTCAAAGAATCTCAAATTCTATCAGCCACTGTTTAACAGGGTAGTTCTTCGCAAACACTTGAAAACAAATTTATCAACAGACCAGTGACAAGTAATCTCCACTTCGACTATCGGTCACAGGCAGGTGACAACAGAACCTACTTTCATTAGACTCAGTATAGGGGATCGGTGATGCCGGATAGTATACTGTACGCTGTAATTGGAAGCATGACAAAACCGAGGAGACAGCCACTAATTTATGTACCGTTTCCTACTGCTGCCAGAAAAGGGTCAAGAACTTGTTGAAAAGCTACTTCATAACAACAAATCCCTCAAACTGCAGTTAGTTATAGCTTTAGCATGTACTATTACAGATTCAATTACTTTATTTCCACAAGAGCAGCCAATTCATAGTTATTTTGTTCCACGTACTTTTAATATGCTTCAGAAACATCTGTTAAAAGAGAGATGCATGCTCAAAGTCAGACTCTTCTTTCCTGCATCTGTAAAACCATAATGATGACAAAAAAAGTTCTGTGTAAATTGGGAGTAATTCATCTACAATGGTTGGTTTCGGGAGGTGAGTGAGAGAAATCATTTTTAGGAATGTCACATTCAGCTATAAAAATAAAAGAGCCAAAGACACGAAGCCACACAGTAGCCGCGCCCATCAGTTCGCACCTATGAAAAGTACTGCACATTCTAAGGCAAAAAGTTAATGGTTAGTAAAATGTTTCAGTATTTTGGTCATGCTCTCCAGAAAAAAATCTTCCTTGATTTACACAGAAGTAAATGATTTTATGTTGTTTCATGGAGGAATCTGACACATTGTAGGCTTCATCCTGATTTGTAATATAAGGCAGTTTTTTAACAGCAAGTCCACTACAACAGCTAGTTCTAGGATAAGGGTATAGAAGCACTATGAAACAAGGCATTCTAAAGGTACCAAAACTTGGAAAGGTAGGGAGAGGACCCATTATCAACTATGGTTCACAAAACAAAACGCTAAAGAGCTAACCTAGACATCTGCCTAAGGCAGTTTCACCAAAATTACCAAAATTCACCAAAAACTTAAAAAAAACCCAACCAAACAAAAAAACTTAAAAAAACCCAAAACCACATCGAAAGAAAAACCCTACAAAAACCAAACTGCCAATGAACAACATCCTTCCCCTCCCCCCCCAAAAAAAACAACAAATTAAAACAAACAAACAAACAAACAAACAGAAACAAAAAACGCCAAAAAAGCAACACACAAAAACCCCAAGGAACTCCCTCCTCCAAAACACACCCCCGAATATTTGCCTCAGACTATGGGAGGAGACACTAAGTGCCAAGAGGAACTGGTATTTCCCCCAGAAGCATTACAAAGGCAGCTACCACTATATGGCATACATGGGTAGAGCATGGCTATACACCTCCATTGTTTTTATATCATGTCTGCAAGATACAACTCTTGTAAGGGCTTCGAAAATTTCTTAAACAGGCACTCACTTTTGTTATGGCTACAGCAATCTGAAAAACAGCCTTAAAAACTTCTTCTTTCTATAGGGGCATTTCTGTTAAAATTAAGTTCTAAGACTACTGTTGTTAATAGCTTCAGATATTCAATAACACCTTAATTCAAAGAACTAGACTAATAGCGTCTGAACAGTTCTTTTTTCAAACGTTCTTAAGCTTCAACTTGCAACACAGCATACAGGTGAGGCAGATTCTGATCGGTGCCTTCTGAGAATTTTTTCTACGGAATCCTGTTTTTTGCAATTTATTACTCTATTTTTCACTATCTTCTTCTAGAATCTTATGTTATTCACAGTTCTTCTGTTCAGATCAACTGGTGATGTCACATACACAGATATACTTGCAACCTATTTTCCATTGTATTAACATTTTATATACTGAACTACAGTTGTTTCTTTTAATTCTCAGAACAGACGCTGCTTAAGGTAGTCCCTCTGATCTCAACAGGACTCCAGTCTCTTTTTCTATATTCTTTCTCTTTCCCATAAACCTGCAGTAGTTGGTAACTTTATGACTTCTTATGAATCTAAACATGCTGAAAATTAAGAGGCAAATATTGACAATTTATTTTTGAAACGAGATTATAGATATACTGCTTTTTCTGTTTCAGTGGGTTTTTCTACGGTGCAGAGGTCCATAAAAGTACTGATAATACCTTCCAAAGCCACACTGATGTCTGTTAAGCTCACTGTTAATCCTTTGTTCCACTAAATTTCAACGTACAAAAAACACTGAAGGCATTGCTTTGGAGATCTGTTTTGTAAAAAAGACAGAAAAGATGCAAGACATTCCAATTCAGAAGTCTTTTTACTTAAATTGACTTCAAAAGCATTTTGCAGCAAAGGCTCAACTTTGTTCATTTTAGAGGAAATGTTCGCCAGCAGGGCTCCTGTGCAGAGTTTTAATAACTTACCTTTTATAAAGTTACCAATCAATACAGGTGTATTTCTTCCTGATATAAGACATATTTTTACATACAGCTACTCTGAAAGTACTGCTAGATGACTGAAGGAATCACAAATCAAAAACTTTTTAATCATTCACACTTACTAAATTCTATAGTCTTCAACTGTACTACACAAATGATTGACTTCTGCCATCCTGTTGCATCTATACTATTTGATTTGTATGTACATAAACAGTTGCCACTGACAGCTGTCTGCCACTATCCTGCCGTAGAATATTTCACCTCAGTCGAAAAACCTATCCACTTTAGATGCATATGTTACTTTTTAAAGACGACCCTAAAGCCTGTAAGGCACATACCTTTTCGTAGTAAACTATTCCATATTCTTTATCATCGCACTTGACGCAACGGAATTCAATCATCAGGTACATAAAATTAGAACTTCGTTTTTCCCTCTGAGAAAAGAACCACCACAGATGTGTATCACATATTAAAGTGCATCAATCTTCAACATTCTCAGCACAGCAATTACCCTACTTCCTTTATGCTGTAACTGATTAATTAGATTATCAGTTGTTGTAGCAATTATTCAGTTAATCATTTCATAGCACTACTTGAGACCATATCACCTTCTTCCTGACATTCTTACTGCCTTATGTTCCCACTTCATGATAATCACCCACATTTAACACCTTGTTTTCATCAGTGGCTTGCAACTCTGGACTAAAGGTCTGCAAAAAGGCAATGAGGAATAACAACCTGACAGCTGGGGGGTTTTGTGCTGTTTTTTTTTTTTTTTTAAAAAAATCATTAAACACAATGATGCATGTCAAAGTCAAAAAACTGAAGATGGGGGGGGGGGGGAAAAAAAATAGATAGAGCCATGACAGAGACAAATTAAACTTGGACTACAAGATTAGATTTGCAACTCATTCACTTTCAGAACAAGATTTCTCAGGACAAGAAAGACACGGACTTCTTGGAGTGAGTCCAGAGGCGGCCATGAAGATGATCAGGCTGGAGCACCTCCCCTATGAGGACAGGCTGAGAGAGTTGGGGTTGTCCAGCCTGGAGGACAGAAGGCTCCAGAGCGACCTTATTGTGGCCTTTCAGTACTTCAAGAGGGCTTATGAGAAAGATGGGGACAGACTTTTTTATAATGCCTGTAGCTACAGGACAAAGGGTAATGGTTTTAAACTAAAGGACAGTAGAGTTAGCCTGCACATAAGGAAGAATTTTTCTACGATGAGGGTGGTGAAGCGCTGGCACAGGCTGCCCAGAGAGGTGGTGGATGCCCCGTCCCTGGGAACGTTCAAGGTCGGGTTGGTCGGGGCTCTCAGCAGCGTGATCTAGCTGAAGGTGTCCCTGCTCACTGAAGGGAGAGTTGGACTAGATGGCCTTCAAAGGTCCCTTCCAACCCAAACCATTCTGAGTTTCCGATTCTCATTACTGCCGAAGTAAAATCAACTTTGGAAGCTTAAAGAATTCATTTTCCTCATATCATACACATTGGCAGTTGAAGAAAAATAGGACAAGTGCTTAGACTTAGTCTCCCAAGCAGGAGGTTCCATACTAGCAAGAGAAAAAAAAAAAAAAAAAATTACAAATCTGACGTACAACGACCTACCTCATTGATCATTTCTATTTCTCTGAAGGTTAGCCTGTCCAGCCAGTCCACTTTCACCATGTGACCTTGCCGATGAGACTTGGTGAGCTGCATGAAAAAGAATATAATGATAACACTTTGCTCGGACCATGAAAAAGAGTATCAAAATTATAATTTAGAGACACTAACATAAAATCAGGGGAAAAAGTAAAAGAACTGGAAAAAATACTTGTCCAGTACACACACAGTAGGTCCTTGTAAACAGATAAGCCATGCCATAAAAATAATTTTACTATCTAAACCACCAATCATGGCGAAGACCAAAACCATGTTCCAAGTACAGTTTCTCACTAGATTTTCAGCAGCTCACCACTATAAATACAAAAGAATAAATCACTGCTGTGGTGGTTTGGTATCTGGCGGGATTTTGGCAGCGGGGGAAGGGGCTCCAGAGGTGGCTCCTGGAAGAGGCT